TTTCTTCTCTCTTGTTTTATTTTTCTTTGCCTTTTTCTATCAACAGGAATCAAATCACTGTGAAGTTCATTAGCTAAGGACTAAATTTCGATGGTTCTCGCCAAAGTTTCTGATGCTTCCAGTAATTACGGAACAATTCCACGCAAGATACCGTCGAATCTGCGATGATATTCACTAGCACGAAGGGGAAGTTTTACGTGGAAAAGCTAAATCGGACGTTCCGCGGGAAGGACTGCACAAAATCATGCGTGATTAACGATTTACGAACTATATAGGATATATGTATAGCGAATAATGTCGTCAGAGTGAGAATATAAGGAAGAAAGAAGAAAGAAAAGAAGGAAAGGAACGAAGGAATTCGAAAAAATTCGCACGCTTCGCACACAGCGGTGAACGCGGGAATCGTGATAGGTCGATTATCGATGGGACGATTTACGATTAAAGAAAAAAAAAGAAAAAATGGAAAAAAAAGAAAAAGTATAGCGATTATTTATTATTAAAGAAATGTTTAGGGTGGAATGGAGGGATCGAGGGAAATCAGCGGGTATAAACAAAGTAAGACTGATTCGTGGAAGGATTACTTGGCTCGAGTATCGTTATTCGATCGATCGGTAGTTTATGAACATCGAGATAACGTTTAAATTAAATATAAATGCAGTCGAACGTTTAATCGATTGCGCAATGAAAGTTAACGGACAGCGAGTATAAGTTCGGATCGTATCCGGTCGAACGCGATAATACGTATCAATGGCCGATTGTATAAAATGTGGAATATAACGTAGCTGCGGGAAATGGAAAGGGAATGGTGTTTATACTAGCATCGATGAAACGACCTTCGAGTCAAGTTGACGAATAGAAAAACTTCTAAGAAGTAAAAATCTTTTTGCTAAAAACTTCAGTCCATGCCTGATTTTGCACGGACTCGTACTACTTTCTGATCGGGTGGTTATCGATCGAGTTACCGAATGATATAGGAAACAGAAAATTTTCTAGGAAAAGAAGAAAAGATTATAAGAAAGAAGTCTCTTTTTCGCAGAGATGCTATTTTCTCTGCTAGGAAGTTTGGCCTGCGTCTGATCACACACGGACTAGAACTACTGTCGGTCGTGCACAGGCCTAACGTTCACGCATCGACCAAGCATCGGAACACCGAGCTTCTTCCTTTTTCTAATTACCTCGTTAATTGCTAGACACTCGATTATCTACTCCGGTGATTCTACGTTGGCAAGCGAGTTACGCTTGTTTCGCGTCAAATAATCGAATTAACCTTTATGTATCGTTGATCATTTCGATCACGAACGACACGAACATTGTTCATTGTTATATCACGATTGGTGCTTTGATCGCAGCATATCGAGACTATAATCGAGAAAACAATCGAGGAAAAAGTAGAAATCAGAGGGTTTCTTTTCGAGCTTTTACGTGGGTGGCAGACGTGGAGAATAATATTTTCTTTCGTAATGTTCAATCTTTGTAACAAAGACCATCTTTGATCATCATCGGGGCCTTAGGGGAATTATTTCGCGAAGAATTAATTTCCTAGGGTGCCGTCACCGCGAAGGATACCGTGTAATCACTGTTACCGTCGATCCGTCGTATATCGATACATCGATATGTTTTCGACTTCGATCGATATATCGATTTACCGATTGGTCGAACCTGTTGGGAACGTTGCGCCAGCAGATCACTTAACCTCTTAAAGAGTAGTATCTTCAATCGACTAACGCTCTCGAATCGAATTAAATCGATGGTTTGTTTGTCGAGTGTTTCGCGGAATATACTTTCTTCGTGTATCTTTCTAATGGGGTCGAGCATGGTTTTATTTACAATTCGTCTAGGAGCGAAACGCGAATAAATCTAAACCTATATACGTATAATCTGTATTTAATTATCGTCATTTATCATATTACTGTGTACTTATCGCATGATTATTACTTACACGTATTATTTATACAACTACAGATAGGAATTCCCATTGAAGTATTATGTGGAGGTTAGATGTATCTATATATACATTATATTACATTATATTACATTATATTACATTATATTATATTGTATTTACATTATATTATATTATACACATGTATTTCTCACGTGGAAATTTTTCAGCATCTCAATAACACCGCGACGGCTATTGTTGTGCAACAAATATATACACGGGCGTGCTTTTTAAGAGGTTAATCGGGATACCGATTTAATATGTAGTACAGAGCAAACAGCTTCCTCTACATACACATATATGCATACATACACACATACGTACATGTATACATACACACGCGAGACCTTTTCATAGTTTCAGGTAAAACCTCGAATTACGATTAAACTTAGTGTAATGTTATAATTAGTTGTGACGTTGTATAATTATCTTCATTTCAATGTTTATACATGTTTAGAAGTCAGTGTTGCGTAAGTAGTTTCATTGTATGTACTTTTCTATTTACCTCTGTGTTGTAACTCTATCGTATCGATCTTTTCATTGCGTACGTGTAATCATGATTTATCAAACACAAATTCGAGGTTTATTCGATCGAAAATATAACCGGTCAAGCGGAGCAAATTGAAACACATGTCACCTAAATCACACAACACAGCTATGCGTACTTTACGTGCGGATAATTCGCGTAAGGGAACAGAATTCACTTCTCGAGGAAACAACGACGGGATGTTCGTTCCTGTTGGTTCCGTAGGGCATTCTTCGTCGTCGCCTCAAGTCACTTTAGGGCAACGAATTAGAAATGTGTTGAATATTTACACGAATTTACAAGAATCTTGCTAATATACTTTTTCTATACAACACACGAGACAAACTTCGGTGCACATGTAGATGTACATCACATGTACACACACACACACGCTGACTGTACACATATACGCATACATACAACAATTTAAACATGCTCTTTACACCTTAAACATTTAACAAAACGGAGGAACGGAAAGAACAATCATTGGACGTACTACAACTCCGCGTTCAATCATAGCACACAAATACATGATTACATGCACCCACACGTACAAGAAAAGGAGACCATTCACGCACACAGTGGCACAGAACAGACACAAAGATGATTTAAAAAAAAAAAAAAAGACAGCAACATTTTCGAGAACACGTGCGCGCCATCACAGTTGTTGATATAAATTGCGATCCATGATTATTACTATTTACGATATAATTATTATCTTGCATTGTCTAGTCATACGTTATTATTGTATCACTAACGATATTAATTATTAATTAACCTGTACTACCTAGTCGCATTATGTGTTGCATAAAAAACTATGAAAATTCCGAAGGCGAAATAAGAAGCGAGAGAGAGAAAGAGAGAAAGAGTGAGAGAATGAGAGCATGAAAGTAAGAGATACATAGAGAGAAAGAGAGAGAGCGTAAGAATAAACGAGAGCAAGAGAAAGAAAGAACGAGAATGAATGACAGAGACACGAAATGGTAATGATGATAACGAAATTTCGGTGATTATATTGTGAAAAATGACAATGATAAATGACAAGCGTTGATTGAGGCGATGATTACGGTTGTGATCGTAACCAATGATGAACAAGGCAACAACGGTAGGCACAATATGTTCCCAAAAAGGAGAAAAAGAAACGATTTAGAATATAACGAACGATAGAAAGAGAGTGTGAGAGAGAAAGAGAGGGAGAGAATGAGACGAAGGCACTTCGTTGCAGCCGTGATAATGCTCGTCGATCGAGATTAAGATCAAGAATTGACTAATTGTGATGATAATCTCGGACGAAGTTATTTATTTTGAGGTTAAGGAGAGAGTTAGTGAGATAAAAACTAAGGGTGCTCTGAAATGTTTCACGTTGAACGCGAATGTTTTTAATCACGGTTCGTCGATGGTATTTAAGAAACGATCAGTTAATGTCCAGAAAGTAAATTTTGAGAGCTACATATGTATAATTAAAACACTTCGCGGACAAGCGAGCGCTGAACATTGAACGTATGACTGTAAAATTACAAGACTCGTATCTTGAAAATGATAAAAAACAGTCACCGAAGTGTTACGTCATATCCGCCCAAAAAACCCGTCAATCCCATCAGAAAGTAATATCGTCGTACATGTTGAAAAATTTGAGAAATAAGTACTTTAAGATACTTTCTGAACTCGTCGTTTCTTCGATCCACGAATTAAACTGAGAATCGATCAAATCGGGCAATCATGGTTGCCGGAGACCGCCTGCTTAGTTAAGGAAAAGAAAGTGGAGATGATAGCAATGATGATGATGATGGTAATGATGATGATAAAAAAAAAAGAGAGTAATAACTGTCACGACACGCACGTGCGCGTCGCGCGTCACATTCGTGACGCGCCCGTGCGTACTGGTAGCAGAAAAAAAAAAAAAAAAAAAAAAGGAGGGAACCTTCCTTTACTCAAAAGAAATTTCGGTGGATTGTTCACCAATCTACTGACTTTTCCCTATTGCCAGGTAAGTGAAAGAAAAAACAGCGGAAATACATAAAATCTGCATATGTATACCTCATATCCTTGGTTTTCGATGCATAACAAGCGCATTTTTGTCAGAACAAATGGAAAAAAAATTTCTCGAAATATCTTAAACGTGCGTTGTCTCTCCTTCCTGTGAATCGTACCCTCCTCCCTCCCTCCCTCCCTCCCACCCGAGGAGAGCTCGCGGGCCCTATATTGCAATATTTGTACTTTTCCATGTTGAAACCTCGATATACAATAAATTATATTAACAAACTTCGACTTTTGATTCTCTTTTAAACCATTCATTGGTATCATCTTTTTCTTAAAGACCTTACTTTTACCTTTTTCGATATTAAATATAAGAAACAGGTAGGTTTCAGAATCACACGATATTTCGTTGAGAATTCGTTTATTTATGAGTCAAAGTACAATCGTGAAATGTTTTTCTGTATGTCATATTCTTTACTTGTGCTCAATTTTACTTGTAATTAACGAAGCATCTAATAAAAAATATTTTTAGGAAGAAATAGACAGAGATGGCAGCATATTTTTGAAGTTATAGTAGCCTATGTGTTATAACAAGATTCAAAATTAAAACATCCAGCGGCATCGATTGATGCAGTAACATCCACGTTCGCATGTTGCATTTTACATCTTCTAATAGAGTGAGAATCAAATTTATGCTTCATGCGATTTTCAGTGAAATTTTGAATCTTTTTCTGCTGAGATCAAATATTTAAATTTTGCAAAGGCTACTATACAGTCTTCCGAATAGTGGAAAGATTGTTAATTAGTTCTGTAAAAAATTAATCTTAAGATAGAGAAATATGGATACTTAAATAAGTAAGAATTCAATCAGTTATATAATACCACATCTACCACGTGATACTTGTTTTTGAAGGCATCCTATTTTTTATGGGAACCTTGCTTCTTTGGGGCGAATTCTAATCCTCTTATATAGTTCTTTTTAATTTGGTATTTTTCTGAAAAATTAACGTTCTCTTATATGTATATGTTCCAAATATATTAATCTACCTTATGTGTTTAAACTACACGAAATATCGATTTGTTACTTACCCGTAAGTAATTTATACACATATAAGATTTGATTTCCTTGAACTAGTACGCTAGGTGTTTTCTTTCCCGGTTCATCCGTAATTGTTGCACTCGCTCCGATACTCTGACATTCTTTACTAAATTCTTTGGCATTGATACCAAATGTTTCTAAATTGTTTACTAACGTTACCTGCAATGTTCGCGATAGATAAATGATGATGTTTTCACAATTTCGTTTATATTCTGATTGTAGTAATCAATACGATACCTTTTTACCACCGGATCGGACAGTAACTCTCATGTCAATAGGTTCCAACTTGCCGGTGTGTAACAATTTGTTTCCCGCTAAAGTAACTTCGTGCATGTGAGTCATACGCCCAATAAACTTGTTTATTCCATCCTCCATTGTTACAGTTTCCACGTTCGCTTTGGTTTTCATAATACCTGCGAGCTGCGGGTTTAATTTCAGTATCCTATAAATAAAACACATTAAACAATCATATAAGATCATAATAAAGTATACATATGATTAAGAACTGCTTACCTTCCATCTTGCAGATTCTCCATTTTCACATATTCAGTAAAACATTTTCTGATCTCAGCTCTTTTCATAATGTCCCCTTTTCTGCAATCATTGTATGGGAGTAAAATGTACATAATTCGTATCATATAATACAGCATAATGGTATATGATGTAACAGTTGTCGACTTCTGCTCTGTACAGAAAATCATTCTTTTTGCAATTATTGTATCGCGGCAACATGACACATCCCAAGTGCGGCACTATATACTCACTCATATCCGAATTTTGATAATACTGGAAAAACGTCGGCAGTTACTTTATAACATTCAGAGATGACTGCCGCGTTGGAAACAACTGGTTCTTGGCTTGTTGTAGGTTCTTCCGCTATAACTAGACGTTTTAAAAGAGGATGATCAAACTGTAAAAAGATATATTAACGTTTCTACTAGAAGCAAATTATTCGTATCAAATTTAATTAAAAAATTTTACCTTTATTGATAATATACTTTCAACACCCTTAGTAACAGAAGTATTGATAACACCCAATGCTTTCATTTCTGATAAAAACAGGGACAATTTTTTGTACCGAGATCTTTTTATATCTACGTTTTTATCTAATGGACATGCAGCTATTAAATGATTTTTGAAGAAATTAGATGTTAACATTGGTAAATCATTGGGCTTTACTGATGTCTTGCAAGCTTTCAGAAAGCAATATTCTAACAAGTTATCCATTTCTTTTATGGGATCTATAACTACTTCTGCTTGATCAGTAGAAATATTTTTGGTTTCATCAGACTCTTCTAGCTTGTTGTCATCCTCACAGACAGATTCCATCTCTGCTACTCTATCATTATCCATTTCTAAGCCACTCATTATTTCAACAAGTGATTCTTCATTGCTATCACTGATCTGCTCCGTTATTTCTAAGTCATTATTATCTGCATCATCGTTTGGTGATCCTAAGTTTGGTCTCAAAGGAGGCTTTCCTAGTTGACAAAGTGTATCACCTATTACATGTAAAATTTCTACACATTTTCCATGACCTCCAGACATATACATATCTTCACTAGAAAGTGCTGTTAATCCTACAGCGATTGGAGCCTATATAAAAAGGAAACACAGTTATTAAACACCAATTTTTTTGGTGAAATTGAAATGCCACGATTTAGAAACAAAATAAAGTTAAATATACCTTATTGTCATTTGTGTTTACTGAAACAGGTGTACCTTTTTGTAATTTGCCAAAAGAATATAATGTTATAGGTTGTTTCATATTGACTCCAGGCAACATTAAATCTGCACCTCTACTTAATTTCGATACAACTGGAGGATGTGTTGTAAAAGTCCTTAATAAATTTGAATAATGCCATAAAGTATATATAGTGGGTAACAATGCTTGATGTAAAGATTCAAGTTGGAAAAACATGGGTAATTTAGCTACACAATACACTTTTCCTGAGTGACCACTGTGAGTTACAATTTTCATAACACTTATTGCCTCTTTCTTAGGAATTAATGATTGTGTCTCTTCGTCTGTTAGCATTGGGTATGCTGCTAAAATTTCTTCGCATAATTTTTTCCTAATTAAAAATAACGTTACATTAATTAATATAATTCTTCGTATTAATCATTAGTTTATTCTATCATTAGATTAAACCAACCTTTCTGTTCCTTTCAGTTGATTGTTCGACTTTATTTTAAACGGTTTTATAAACATTTTGATCTGATAAGACTTTAAAAAAATTTGTTTAAGAAGACTCTTAACAAAACCACACGACTAAAAATTCAGCTCTATTCGAGATACAGGTTATCCAACCCTTTATCTGCTTATTTAATGCTAGCAATTTTAATCGAGGTAACTAAACTTTGTTACGACGCAAATGTTTCTCATGAAACATGCGTACAATGGTTGATCAATAGATCGCAAAAGTCAACAATTAATACAATGAAATTTGTAGCAACAAATGTAGCGATAAAACAGTTAATAATTTTCCCAACATATTTATTAATACAAAAATCCTATTGTGAAAATCAGATTAACAGTTCCAACTTTTTACTGACGGTTGGTAATTGCCAAACATTTGATCAACTTTATTTTTCATCTCAGTTAATTGAAAACTATCTAAATATGAAATACATATTCATGTATAGATAGTTAAGTATGTATCTAGAAAATCATCTGTAATTTCTGAATTGATTTAGAAAAAGTTTGTGATAAAAACAAAAGACATTATATACTCTGTCTGATAATAATGCTACTTGTGTTATGTAGTGTGTACTGTGTCCTCTTACGGCACGTGAGAAAAATACGATCAAATCTACTGTGTGGTCTGTAGGTCACTATAACCTCAAAACGTTGCATTATGCATAATCAATCTGTGAGAAGTAGCCTTTGAATATAGTGTAGCCTTAAGATATTATCGTCGCATCTTTATTTACGTGTACCACTGCCAAAATGGCAATTATGAAAATATTGTTACGACCAGATATCGGAAGGTTCACTGGGGTCAGAGTGAGTTACTTTTCATACGCCATTGTTACATTTGATTTCAGTTACTGCACTCCAAATTGGTGTCCGTCATACACGCCTTCTTTTGTTTATAACATAGATTAATAAAATTTCGTGCACTGTACTAATCTAAATGATTAAAAATTTAGTAATAATTAATTTGTTTCTATTGATTTATTTTGGTACTACTTTTTTTTATTGTTAAACGTATTTTTATGCCTTTCTATTTCAATCTTCAAACATTGTTCAAAATAGTATGAAACGAATTATACTTTATTAAAATTAATTTGCATGCATTATTTTGATTAATTGATTATTTGACATTGATAAATTAGATATACATTTTTATTATTATATTATTGTTATTTTATTATTATTTTATTGTTACTTTTGTTATTTTCATTAAAAAATTCGAAATGTATTTTATGTATATACATCTTTCTTAACATGACATAAGAATTAATTATAAATTTGGTTACAATAAGTGATGTAAAATTTGTCAAACATTACATTATGCATTAGTACAAAAATATACTTATAACATAACAAGTATATTTTTATATCCTGCTTCAAGGTCTATGTAGCTGTTTAAATATCTTGCTCCAAAAATATGAAGTAGCTGTAGAACGTCTTATGAAACATGCCTTAAATATATTATATTAATATAATACAAATGAAAATACTTAAATATAAGTGACTTACACATTTAAAAATTATATTTCTTTATTTTCAGCATTTAAATACTAAACCAAAATTTGGTCTACTTTTTGACATTGATGGTGTAATAATACGTGGCAAAAATGTATTACCTCCTGTACCAGAGGCTTTCAAACAACTTCAAGGGAAAGATGGCAAATTTCGTGTGCCAACTGTGTTTGTCACCAATAGTGGAAATGCATTGCCTAGGCAAAGAGCAGCAGATTTATCCAAATGGCTAGGATTTGAAGTAAAAGAGTCACAAGTTGTTATGGCTCACACACCATTAAAATTATTCCAACAGTATCACAATAAACAAATACTGATATCTGGTCAAGGCCCCATTAAAGAAATAGCTAAAGAGTTGGGGTTTAAAAAAACAGTAACTATCGAAGAAGTAGTAAAAAATTTTCCCTCTTTAGATTATATAAATGTGGAAAAGAGAAATCCAATATGTGGTCCTGTGGATCCGAAGTTTCCTACAATAGAAGGCATTGTATTATTTAATGAACCAATTTCTTGGGAAACCCCATTACAATTAATTGTAGATATTTTAATGACTAATGGCATGCCTGCTGGTTTACTTGATGAAATTGCATATCCACATATTCCAGTCTTGGCATGTAATATGGATTTATTGTGGGTATCAGAAGCACCAATTCCCAGATATGGTCATGGTGCTTTTCTATTATGTCTAGAATCTTTATATAAAAAAGTGACAGGAAAAGATTTGATGTATTCTGCTCTAGTCGGGAAACCTAGTGAAATTACATACTATCATGCAAATTCTGTACTTCACGAGCATGCTAGAAGTATTGGAATAGATCATAATGTTGACACTATATATGCTATTGGGTAATTAATTCTTTGAAGATACTAAGAAACTAACACAGCATTAAAAATTATAAGAAACATTTATAATATTCTGTGTATTTTACAGAGATAATATCAATACTGATATTTTTGGTGCAAATTTATATGATAAATATCTGTCATATTGCACGAAGGAGGAAGTATTAAAGTCTGATAAATTGAAGAAACTACTTAACAAAGATATTGAACCACCTAGTGCAAAAGCTTGTATTAGTATTTTAGTCGAAACTGGTGTCCATCAACGAGATTCGAATTTTATATCAGAACATACTCATGCAGACTTCTTACCAATTGAAGAAAGCCTGTGCAAGCCTGCATTCGTAGTGAAACACGTTGGCGAAGCTATTAGTGTCGCGTTTAAGGAAGAAAAATTTGACTGAACTAAATATGTATAGAACGTATTTTTAGATCTGGAATGTTCACATCCTAATATCAATTAAAGAAAAAGAAGATATAAGAAATTAGATATATCTCCGCTAATGTAAGTATTACGTTAATTTCGTTAGATTTTTTTTTAGAGACAAAATCATTAAAAGAAAGTAAGTTATAATCGATTACATAGACATGATATTTTGTTTAATGTTTCTCTTTTAAATCATTTTTAACATTTTTATCTGTCATTTTATTAAAAAAATGATGGAAGGGGAAAAATTGTGTCTATTGTAATCTTGCTTTAACCAGTTAAGGAGTTATTATTTATCACTGCAACTCAATGATATTTATAGACAGTACAACAATCTTTTATATCAGAGATATTAAATATAGCCGAAATCATCTTTTAATGCAAATTTTTATCTATATTCGAAGTTTCTATTATTTATTATAGGCGAATATAGTATTTAGATAAATGTTCAAAGATAGCATTATATACACACATTCATATGTAGTGAACAAACATATTTGTAAATAATTTTTAGTTTCACTTTTATTACGTTATAATTGAATTCTTAAATGATTAAATTTTAATGTTTTATTTACGGTAATCCCGTCTGATTCTACCATATTATGACGGTAAATCCTTTGTACTCCTAAAACAGTCGAAAATTTAGTCCCAATTGTGTAAAAAACGCTCAATCGCGTTTCATTAAATTAATGAAATAGGAAGGATAGAATAATGCGAGCTTTGCGTAACGCGCTATCATTTTAGTCAATGAAAATTGTAATCCTGCGATAGACTATTAATGCGTTATTTACCACCATTCTATTTAGCTTTTCCAGGAATACTACTATATATATATAGAACCTCATCTAGTCTCACAAAATAGTTTCACTGTAGGCAATTGTAGTAATAGCGATTCGTAATACTTATGGTATGAAAGATGTCACGGTCGTTTGTCAGATAATTAGATAACTACTTTACATTGATCATTATGTATATAATAATGCAAAGAACAAAAGAAACCACAAACGTTTTATTAATGTGCATTAAGCAAGTTATAAGAAATATTATAAACGCACATTATACAAAAGTACTTGATTCAGGTGATCATAGTTGGCACGTTACCACAATACAAACATATATATAGAAACATGGAGAAAAAGGAAAATAAATAATGAGAAATATAAAAATGTTTGCTGAGACGAAGACTGACCACCTATGTAAAATTGAATCGATAATAACCAACTAACTAGAGCTGGTCGATAATTTGTTTTAACATTAGCAAATTAAAGGGGAGGAAGAAGAAGCAGTAATCGTTGTTTATCGAAGCGATAAAAAATTATTTAAGATTGCATGAAAGAATATAGCGCTCTACAAAATTAACGATGCCATAGATAATAAAGGGCAATTATATACCCATATATACAGTTCATTGCAAAATTGAAAGCAATGCACAATTGTATTGCTTTTTAATTATAATTTAATTATAATTTATTTAATTATAATAAGAAGTCTGTGATTTTTATGGAGCATCTATGTTAATAAATTCTATGCTCATTCATTTTCTTCTGTATTTCTCCTATTTTGCTCTATAGAAGTCACAAAGCGTGCCAAAAAATAACTTTATTCTTTTTTTTTTTTTAATTTGTCCATCTAAAAAAACGTTTTATGGAAACTAATTTCAGAAAATTCCTAGAAATGATCTTCGAGGATCGAGTGGAGATATATGATATTAGAGATGACGAATACTATGAGAAATACATACAAATTTTGATAATATATTACTTAATGGCTTGAAACGAGTCTTATATAATCTAGTCTACTTAAATGAATTAGGAAACATTTATTAAATCCATATTTTCTTTTACTACGTACAAACTGCGAATATATTTTCTTTTCTTATTCTCGAATTACGAATGAACAACAATCGCCAATACTTATTTAAAGCAAACAAAAAAAGAGAAAGATCGTGATAAACAAATCATATGATAAATTATAATTATTTATTTTCATTACAAACACTTCACAACATTCGTGTTAACAATATATTTCCATATTGCAAGCGGTACTTAGCGGTAGCGAATTTTTATTTCAATTACTCCTATCGAGGAAAAAAGACCTATGTTATTCTCAAAAAAAGAAAAAAGAAAAAAGAAAAAAGGTAGCAAAAGTTAAAAATGAAGATCCTTTTCTGCCTATCGCAACAAGTTATATGTAGAAATTAAGTGTAGCAAAATATACAATATATTTTCCGTTAAACTATCGATTTTGTTGTGACTGACAATGCAATTTCACGCTGGAATTTCGTCGAACGAAAGTGTTTCATTCACCGTGCACTTTCTCTGTAACTTTTCCAGCGAAAGATCGGTAAGTAGCAAAAGAACGTGCCGCGTATACTAACGTTGTATCTCGAAGAACGTCTTTTAAACAATATGGAGAAAATTCAGGCCGAAATTAATAATTGCTCTTGATTATGACGGAACGTGCATAACGTCTGGGTCTCATGACCCGTGAATTAAACCGTCAATCGTTTGATGAAATAATTCAATTTATATCGGTACATCGATGTCCACGAAGAGCACATTTATTTTTCTACTCGAGAGTTCATCGAGAGTTCATTGGTGTTGATCCGAATACACGCGTTTCCGGATTCGATAACTGATAGATGACATATTTACATTAATCATCAATCTTGCAAGCGCAAAAACCGTGGATGGAAATAATTATACACGAGAGATCATCGATAATTAATAGGGGAAAGACACCAATACCAACCGAAAAACAATCACGAGGAATAACGAGCTTTTTTGTGCTTAGAGTGCAAGTTACAGTCAGGAGAACCGGTTTCCAACAAGTATGCCTGTTATTGCAGTGTCGCCTAAAGATTCGATAGACGTCTCGTATTTTTCAGGCTAAAGACACATCTTAGCAGCACTCGTGTAAAATTCAACAAGTTAAGTAGAACGGTTTTATGTACATACGGACGTTTCCGGCAGGAGAAGAAATCGACCGAGATTTCTTTAGGACGAAGTTTTACATAGACTCTCCTTGGCCGCCGAATGAGTCGCTCCTCTGCACATGGACTTAATTTACGAGTTCATTAATGGCTAAGTTATCGTAATTGACCTTATCGTCACATACTAATCAGCATCGTGTACTCGACTTACGTCAGCGCGTGGATGGAATTAAAAACGGAGCAAAGATTCCTTTCGAGCCAGCATTAAGGATCGCTTTATGATGGAAGATTTGTAGCTAAAAGAGAGAATACGGTGAAACAAGATGATTCAAAAAATTGGCATATTACGTTAAGGTGTTACATTAAGATATCAGGTATGAATAAAAGCAATTCGATCACTCGTAGGTGTATGATTTTCATAATATGATACCATACGTTTACCGATCCACTTTGCGGCATAGCTCATGGAATTACTGATCGAAATTATTGATCGAAACCAAATACAATTTTTTTCCTCGAATTTTATAAGTATTATAATATGTATACAAATTTTTGATTTTAGTTCACGTTGGATTGTATCGTTTGTAGCACTTATTGTAGGTAAATAAATTTACAAGATACAAAGTAGGTAACTATGTGATATCAGTGTTTCGACTAGCTACTTCTTGGCTGAATAAAAAATATTGGCATTATTAAGTTGCGATTTTTAGAATTTCATTCGAAATTTCATCGAAATCCGTGCGTAACACTTTTGCACGGCCCACCCGTAAATGGTCAAACCGGTTTATCCATTTCTGTGCCATGATGCACGCCTTGCGGTGCAGCAAATCACGGATGTCATTTCTAATTTGAAATTCAGGGCTCGTTCGAGCACACATAACTCTGAAATATAGGTCGAAGATCACTGCCCGTTCGAAAGTCTTTCTCTGCTTAAAAAATTAAAGAGTAGAAACAAAAGCATACTAAGCGTGATACTGAAAGGAACAAAAAACAGACTATAATAGGGTTTCGACGTATTTTGTATTTCCCAATCACATTGCTTATAAGTTAAACCGCTACAACTAATTCGTTTGGTTGAATAACTTATTAGGAAAGTAAAAGTAACTCGATGCCATCGGTAATTAATCATACGATCCACGAGTTGTACACCCACGAGCACGTGGATGTGAACAGGGTCGTAGGTAATTGACCCGTGAAAGTTCGCTTCTCACGTCAGCCACTCTCGTCGCAAGAAACGTTTCACTGTCACCTTCTCTCATCAATATATCTCGGTGATCTACCGCGATTCAAGGCGATTATTCACACGCAATGAACCACTGATTGCGACAATGAATCATTTCTAAGAGAAAGCACTCTCGGTTCTATTGAATTCTGCGAACGTTCCTCTCATCGTTATTATGGTACACGAAATATATACAAAGCTTTAGAACATGCTTTCCATTTCATCGATTAGCCGTTCGGTACTCACGTTCAATAAATTATGAGATTAGTTGTAACTGTGACTCTAACATCCATCTATGTTTGCGTCCCTCTTCCTCCTTTTCTTCTCGTAACATTCAACAGCTCTCTGAATCTGTTCCAGATAATCCTGGATCGTATTCTCCATTGACAATTCCCTTGAGTCTGACCTGGCTAGAGACCTCTTCTGTACAAGGGCCGTAAGCATCAGGGTGACCACGGGAAGAGTCATTCCCAGAAGAAACGTTGGCGTCATGATATTCTTGAGACCATGCTTCTTGAATCCCCGATATAACTCCGCCCAGATACCGTCTCCTTCCTCCTCGTGATGCTTACCGAATTTTCCATACAGATGTGGTTTTATTTTTCCCGTTTTGGCAATGTAGTTGTAATAATAGGGATCATAGGATTGAGCATATAACTGAGAATAGTAAACGTCTTTGTTGGGTGGTGGATGATCCGCTTCGGGGAACCAAGCACTAGCATCTTCGTATGGGACAGGAGGATTGCTAATGGGAGGTGGTCCACGTTGAAATCCTGGCTTCGTGTAGATCACTTCAACAGGTGGGCCCTTCTGCTTCAACGGCACTGCTTGGGAAAAGAGGTTGCAAAATTAGTCGCTTGTTAATTAAGGTGAATTTTGATCTCGAGTGAAAACAAACAATTACAGCGTTGGATATGGAAAACTCTCGCAATTGCTCTAATTAACGGATGTTGTTACAATGCGAATTGCGTTAAGACACGTTTCCCTGAAAGATGCAACTCTCAGTTGCTAAACCTGTTTCACCACCATGGTTAACGTGTTTCTATGAAATTGAGAGTTTCGATAGAATTTTCAAGCATCGAATCGGAATAATAAGTAGAACGTTAACGTTTCTTTTCACGCGTAATGCATTTTAATAATAATTCAAATAATACCTATATTCCTATAACGAAACTTTGTTAACTATAATAATAATAAAAAGTTTGTTAATAGCTATCGTGATTTAGTTTTAACTAAATTTGTAAAACTGTTAAAGATCCTTGATTGAGAACGCTCGGTCGTAAAATCTCACCTGGAGGAACAGGACCACCATAGAATCCTGGTCCTCCCCTGGATTGTACATAAGGAAACGGTTTTCCACGCACTCTTCTTACACGTTGATACCATCCAGGATAGAAGGCATCTTTCCTCGCTTGAATTCCAGTCATATATGGTTCTAATGCTTGCTGTTGTTGCATTACAGGTATAGCTGCTGGATTTAACACACTCGATTGAAGATCCATCGGATTCATAGGGGCACTATAGGCCGGTTGATTAACTGGAAGAGCCTGTAATACGTGTCTTTGTTGCATGAGTTGCGCAGTCAACTGTTGGTTTACCGGGGAAGACACGGGTTGTTGATCAACACGTGCTACTGGCTGTTGCGTTAATTGCTGTTGATTGACGATCGTTGGTTGAATATTTTGAGGAGTTTCCCGGCTTTGTAAATAATAGTCCAGAGACAGGCGTGATTCTTCTGGCGTCTTCGAGTTTAGGAAACTGTTCAAGGCTAATTCAGAACGATTGCCAAAGTTGGTTCCTTGAGTATAGGTGTTTGTAGATAGATATCGACCAGTTTGACCGATCTTCCGTTGTTTCACGATATGTGATGAATCTTCTTGGTCCACTGGGCCATCCTCGGTTAGACTTATGATCGGATTCCTAGACTGGGATGAGTTTTTAGTGTCTGGCAATAATAGTTGAAAGTTTTGAGAAGATTCCGTAGAATTGTTAGTCACGTTTGCTGCGGTTTCCTGTCGTCTTGCAGTTTTCTCAGTGAATCGTGACTCCACGGCTGCGTACTCGGTGTTCTCCGTTAGTGGATTACCCTCGAAGTTCAATTGACCGTTGGCTAATCCGAGCGCGAGGACCATCAAGATCGTTGCTGTGTTCATGATTCTGGAATCAAGGGGAAACTTACTGACTCTGAAAATTCCGCTTTCGAAAGCGAATTACTATGTCGTAGTGATAAAAACGTATAATTTTTGAATAAACTTCGAAATAGAAACTTTTACACTCGGTTCGTTGATTGACAAATTCAATTTGCTTTTCTAATTAGCAGGAGTAGCTAAGAAGGAGAGCTACCTCGAAGCATTCTCTCGAACCGTTCTACTTACATTGTCAATGAGCAGGGCGGAGAAAGAGACTTGTTACGTAGAAATGCTCACGCCGATTTTGTTACGCGTGTAGAATGATTATCATCGGTCATCTTTCTTCTATTATCTATCCTACTTTTCGATAACGATCTAACTTTCGCGCGTAAATAACGCACAACGTGTCATTAAACTTTTACTGTTAATATCGCATTTTTTACTCACGATATAATTAACAGATATGCACGTGAAGACGTGGTAAAGGTAAATGCACTGGCGGCGCATTCATAAATCGACCGACTTGGATTAAACAGTCGCGTAACACTTTCTTCGGTCAAGGTGAACGTAACTACGTTGACACGAAACACATTTCCATTAATCATTTCTCAATGAGGCGACTTCCTTTACAACGAGATCACCCGTTATCGTTTATTTCTTTTTTCCTTTTTCCTTTTTTTTTTCTTTTTTGTGTGTAGTTAAAATTTAATACAATATTTTGCCTGTGGATGTTAAACCATTTACCCGGAAGTTCGTACATTTTTCATACATACGAAAAAATCGTAAATAAATCGGCGAAACGTTCGTATTTGAATATCGCGAGATAAGCCAATGAATTATGAATCAAGACATTACTAGAAGGCACACGATGTAGATATTGAATATCAGTCATATATCAAAAACGAGCTTCAAGATTGAGCTCCTGATGAATGATCAGAAAATTGTATGAAAAAGGGACAGTAATCCTCTCCGGAGGAGAAAACGGAAATGTCTCAGTCGATACGGTGAAAAAAGTTATTCAGAGAGAGTTAAAAGTCTAGAGAGTTTAACTTTACGTTAAAAGTCAATCTACGTACGAGATATTCCTTGTCGAAAGTTCAGGGTTACTTAATTTGCTAGACTCTTTCTTTTTTTATCAAAACCGGTATGCGAATTTGCATATTAAATTAAATGCAATGATCATCATCTGAGCACGAAGAATCGTTATTCAAAACAACGTAGAGAAATACGATTGCTTCCTTTACGGATTTAAATTTCTACTCTGTCGATATCTCTTTTATTACTATTTAAAACGTTTTTTAATGATAACCGTCGTTCTAGAATATAGAAATTTTACAGTAAAAGATTCGTATCCTAATCCACAGGTCAAAACTTTCTAAAGACCGTTAATCCATTACAAATTCAAGGATTGGCCGAAATTCAAAAAAGGCTTCGATTTCTTTCTGCCGGTCGATCGCGACTATCGACACCATTCACGGAATGCGTTCAGCGTGTTTTACTTGATCAGTGAAACACATTCACGTCGAACGTTGAAACACAGTTGGATCTTATTATCGTACATCACCTCGGGATCGTTCACGAGAACGTAACAAGAAAAGAAGTGGAACTGCCGTGTACCGTGAACGATGCTTTTTCAACAACGCCTTGGTCGAAAAACAAAACCGAGCTGCACCGTTTAATTGCTATCACCTACTTAACCTAACTAACTAAACTTCGATATTTACATCCTTTGTATTGACAATCCTTTCGAATGGCGCACTGATCGAACGTCAAATTTAAATACTATTGATTTTACAGTCGGTAATATTCTATTTATACTTTATCTACAGTTGCGAATAATAAGTAAAATTCCTATTTATTACCGATTGAAAAACTTTTAAGCTTTTTAAATTATTCTAGGTATATTGTATCGTGCTAAGCCAGAAATGGATAAAATTACTCAAATTCTACTTACGATTGTCAAGCAACGTTCCGGTCGTTCAAGCACTAACTTTTTCCTCGCCCTGACACAAGTGTTTTAATAATGATCAAACATCGATTTGACCGATCCGGCCGATGTAGCAAATAGCACGCAAGAAGAGACCGTCCATCAGTCCGCCTGGAACCAGGAATACTGAAGATCTACGGATCCGATGAGAAAGCCATTCACTCAGACCATGCTCCCTACCTTCTCGTCAAGCCCATAAACCAAACACCTTGTTCGTTACCTGGACGAAATTGCTGTTAACCAACCTGTATTGCTTTCGATTCCTCAGGTGGTCCTCGAGAACCATTTTGATCCTTCTTCTTCACAATGGGTTTTGCTCTTTTATGTCGAACATTCGAGGAGAAAGTGAATTCTAAGTGAAAATCGAGCAAAGAATGTAAAGTGCGCTCCAGTAAGTAGGATTCAATTGATCATGGTTTCCCATTGATTTAGTGAAAATTTAAAAGACAATTTATCCTTACTATATAACATAGTAAAAATATTTTCAAGATGTTATTATTTTTAGATACTAATAATATCGATGAACGGTATCGGAGTGACGGCAGTAAATGTCAAGGACATGTCGGAGATATTTCAAGGTCATTTATATATTTCTCTAAATTTTTGTCATTCCTTATCATTATTACAATTAGATTGTTAAACGTCAAGGTCTTAAACGACGACAAGGTCTTAAGCAAATTATTGTCTAGTTTACAAAGAATCAGGGAATCCTTGAAAAACGTCTATTCTTCCACAATTATGCCTCGTAAATCACTTTTTCCGCAGTCGTTCGACCGCGAACAAGACGCTTGAGGCTCCAATAGCTATGGTCTACCTAATCATAAGAATAACGGTCTCGTTTGTTACAAGAAAATTAATAAGTCGGATCCGATGTACCATTTTCGTCTGCCATATATTCTCAACTTATTTGTGTAAACGATATAAAACCGTAAAAACTGCAAACTTATTGCCAAGTGTAAACGATCAATTATAATAGCTATCTAACATAGATAAGACGATTTTGCTTCTTTATTTGCACAGTAAGTTTCTCTTTTCCCTAATTTACAGTATCAAAAGGTCTTTTGCATCGCATAACCATCAACTTTCGAAGAAAAGCGTTAATTAATGGCATAAGTGGGTCGACCGGGTAGAGTCAGTGCCATGCTGTTCCAAAGATCGGATATAAACTCGATACCAGGTGACCATCGAGCGATTTCTGGTGAAACAGGAGTAAATCGAACGGTATTTTAAGCATTTTGTTTGCGCTGCCTTTCAAATGATCGCTCGTAGCAACAACATTGTCGATACGAGTCTGTGATCGACACAAATCTAGAGGATGATGCAGTCATGAACTACTTACCTGATTCCACAAAAATTGCTCTATTTACAGATTATACTGGTACATGGGACCGATACCGTGCATTCATACATTGGGCGGCACAAATTGTTAGCAGAAAAACGCATTGAAGAAGAACGCTGTGAAAGAAATGATAAACTATATTTGATCGCGAGATAGATTCCAGCAGTGAATTCCCTTTCTCGACACTCTCGATGCGTGGTCCACAATTATGCTAATCATCCCGTATAAATCACACCTCTCCTCTATTCATGATCACATAATATCAAGATGAATGCAAAAAGCTCTCAACCGAGCAGCGTCAATTAGTGAGATATTCTTTTACCCAAGACCTGAGAGGACATTTATGAAATTACCGTCTTTGATGTACTAAGAAACAGAAAGACCACTGAAAGCTCTTTTTGGGGGGATTGTTCGTAAACTGACGTGGGTCCTCGAATGAAACAAGTGTTGTGAAGCATCGTAAACGAGCAGTCACGAAGACAATAGGAGGGGTGACGACCATGCTCCTCCTCATCCTCCCGATGGCATCAGCCGCGATCGTGCAAGCGAAGCTCCGGACCGAACGTTATATAATTGTGGCAGATTATTTCCAGCGTTGGTCACATGCATGCTGCCACACTCGGCTGTGTGCTGACAAACGTTCTACCGCAGTGGACATTCGGCCATCGAACGACCTGAGCGTCGCAACCTCGAGGATGGAACCGCATCGAGATGGAAACACCGGGATCACGTGGAAACGACTGAAAGAGCTACTGCTAGATTTTCATTTAAATTCAGATCGTGTATTTTATCGGTAAGTGGACGCTTCTCTTTGAATTGATCATTTTCGGGGAAGCATTTTTGTCGAAGATGTTTCAATCTATAGTGGCTTCCTTCTTTACCCCTTTTGTACCTTTCAAAAAAGGATACCGTAAATACTAACTTTCTAGTTACTCGGTTACTTTTTGTAATATGTCCCATTGAAATTTCTTTGAAAAGATGTTTTTTTCACCGTTTACAGTTGGACGTAAATTATTCGCAGAGAGGAAAAAATAGATCGGATGTCGGCGAATTGAACATGATCGTGTTCTTCTGTCGGAAGCGCATTATCTCTGTTTTCGCGGCGTTCCTGATCCGCGCCTGGTTTTGCATTGTCACCGAAACATTTCGTGTTTGGTCTGGTTGAAATAACAGGTTCCCTCGAAATGAATTGACATTGAAACGTACATCCGTTAATGGTAATCTCATACGGAGAAGTTAATTGCGGTACAAACTATGACGAGGCTATATTTTCATTATAATTCTAGACACTTGCTTTTGTAAAATTTCCATTTTGACTCGAAGTCTTTTGTGCATCTCGTGTGAATACTATTCGAATGAGTTGTGCGATTGTTACTCGAATGACAATTACTATCAATCAATCACTGCACACCCTAGCCTGTGTTTTCAATAGGCAATTGATCGATCTATGAAAACATAATAAATCTCGTTGTAGAATAATAACATTAGCGGTGGTCGAGTTTCGGGGCTTGAACCTTGTACAATTTAATCCACTTAAGGTGAGATCATCGCGACCCTCTTAATTAGCTGAATCAAGAATGGTCGCTTTCGTTCCATGAAGTGGCTTATATTAGGCCAACGGTTCCACTGACGCCACCCTTTACGTTTTCTTAATATTTCACTTAAAGATCATTGCCCCTGTTACCCATTTATATTGACGAGTTTTCTTGCTCATTCCTTATTTACTAATTAAAATCACGTTACAACTTGACAAAAGATCTGAAACCTAAAATTTTATATGTTATAAATTATAAATGTTTTTATGTTATAAATCAATTCATCGCAAAAATACTTTTTAAAATCAAAGCGATTTATATTTCAAATGTATTCTTACAAAGACTGAAATTTCTACCAAAGAATATCCTTTAACGCTTAGCGCAGCAATGCAAACGTTATCTCAAGTTTTGCAGATGACACCGTTTCCAATGACTTGTCTTGAAGAAATTCCTGCTTAAGGAAGTAAAAAATATTACTCTCCATTTTAAATATTTTTCTAAAATTTATAGATTCTCCTGATCTATAAAAAATACAATAAGAAATATTGTTTCCAGTATCGGCCTAAGCATTGGACAAAAGCCCTGGCTATGGCTGCTGGTATGCTTCTGCATAAATTGTGTTTGCGCACCTGGACTGATCTTCTGGAGAGAAGAATTCGACGACATAGAGCTCTTCGTGCCTGAAGACTCTGAGATACGCAGCGATGCCGCCTGGGTGAAGACACACTTCCGGGACGATTTTCGATACGAAAGTATCATCGTCACGGCCCCCAACATTTTGGAGCCGGAAGTGCTGCGCTCGGTACATAGGCGATCATGAATTATACGAGTATCTGCGAAGGTTCTTTTCCACTTTAACGCATGATTCTTGTCGAAATTTGCCAAGACTCACGAGATTTACCCAGCATTCGAAATCTGTGAGCTCAACCTCTGCGATTTTAAATCGGTCGTTCAATCGTGTTCTTATACTTTCAGATTAGCAAGATAGAACAGATAGTAAAATCTGTCATGGTGAATAATAGTACTTGGGAAGATGTATGTGCAGGGTAAAATTAAAATTAATCAATGTTCATTTGTTTCCTACTCTTGGCTTGTATAGTAGATAAGAATCCTATTGAATTACAGATACTTTACATGGTTCAACGTGGACAACACGACGGACATTTTCAAGGACCTTGATATCGCTGGAGATATCCTGGCTGAATTAAATAACACGGTGCTAAAAAATGGATGTATATATCAATCTATCATACAACTCTGGGAAACTAGTTTAATGAAAGATGTTCGTAATTTGACGAAAAAAGAGATACTCGAGGACGTAACCAAGGCGATCAAACAGAAGTGAGTTTCTAAAGAAGCAACAGAATTTTGATTTTAAATATATATAACTGGAATCACTTGACAGGATCAACGAGAACGTCCTGTTAGATATCGCGCCCCTGCTTTCGGGTATCTTCTATGACAAGAAAGGCCGAGTTAAAGGCGCCAACGCAACGATTCTGAATTGGATGCTGAAGAAATCTCATCCAAGCTCAGCTAATTGGGAACTGGAATTTATACATCGCGTTCTTCATTCAAATATCACATTTCCACCTGGAATGGAAATATATGCGATAGCTTCACGAAGTTACATAGATTCTTTGCATCAAATATTAAATAGTAATCTTACAGTATTATGTTGTGGAATATCCTTGATAGCAGTCTACGTAATGGTTATGATCGGAAAATGCAACGCGTTAGAACAACGAATTTATTTGTCAATAATGGGAGTGTTTGTGGTTGGTCAGGCGATATTGTCCTCTTATGGAGTATGCTTCTACTTGGGTTATTCTTACGGACCCATACATTCCATCCTTCCATTTCTGTTGCTCGGTATTGGCGTCGATAACATGTTCGTGATCATGCAAAGTCTAGCGAGCCTCTCAGAAACTGATCAGTCCGCGGCAATTCCTATACGTATTGCTAAAACCATTCAACAAGCTGGTACGACATTTGTGATTTATGATACATTTATGATATTATTTTTGATATATGGTAGTTTTTACTTATCTTTTATTTTTTATCCATTTAAGGTATGTCAATCACAGTAACATCTTTCACAAACATAATTGCGTTTGCCTTCGGCATTACAACTGTGATGCCTTGTCTCAGATCTTTTTACGCATTCGCTACATTAGGAATTTTATTTTTATACGTATACGAAATTATATTCTTCGTAAGCTGTCTTGTATACGATGAAATACGACTCGAAGCACGCAAAGATGGTTGCTTCTGTCGACCGAAACTAAATTGGAAGCCCAATGAATGCAGTCAAAGAAACACTCAGCAGATTATCTTTGAGAATTATATCGGTCCAGGAATCACTAAAATTACAGCGAAAATAGTCATTTTGCTATTCACTATTTGCTGCCTGTGCGTTAATACATGGGCAGTATTTCAATTGGAACAAAACTTCGATCCTCTTTGGTATTTAAATCAAGACTCATATCCAATTCAGTTTAACAACAAATTAAAACAGTATTTTCCGAAATATGGAAAACGAGCGGCAATTTATATGACTGGCGTAGATTATTATGAAGACCGTAAGTCTCTTTCTCAATTGGTAGAAGCTTTGAGACACAATCAGTTTATTAACAATGGTACCCTCGAGCCATGGTTTATTGCTTATGAGAAGTGGCTTAACATTACTGACAAAGGTAAGATTTGGTCTAATACTGATATATTTAAGTATAACTCAGTGGCAAAATTTTGTTGGTAGGTGATATTGAGAGCAGAGAAGAATATTATAATATTTTAACAGAATATCTACTTTTAACAAAAGAAGGTCAAGCATATATTAAGGATATTAATTTTGATAAAGTACCGGCCGGAGAATATAATATAACGGTATTAATAAATGTTTATTATTATACAGTTATTTGATAGATGTTTGTCTGACATAAATATGTTATTTTTTTTTTATTTTTCTTAGACGTCGCAAATTCCGATACAACATATCATGATTAATACAACATCAGCACAAATACAAGCGATGCAACTTATTAGGGAAACAGTTCAAGCGACGAATTTCTCTCATGGACATGACTATATTGCAATCTTTTCATCTGATTATGTTTCATGGACGGCGAACAAAGTAAACACTTTTTCGGCTAGTAATTTTCGTATAATGTAATTGTTATTTTTCTGTAGGTTATAGGAGAAGAATTGATCAGGAATTTAAGTTTAGAAATACTGACCATCGGAATAGTAATATTGCTATTCCTTAGAAATTTACGAGCATCGTTTTGGGTAATTTGTTGCGTATTTTTCACACTCATTGATTTATTAGGTACTATGTACTTTCTAAATTTAACCATCGAAATGTCATCAAGCATCATGATATTATTATGTGTGGGGTTGGCGATCGACTATGCCGCGCACATGGGATTAGAGTTTATACGTGCAAAGGGCAACAAAAAAGGTAAATAATACTATAATTTATATACTATATAAAATGAAAAAATAATTACTAAGTTAATAAATTTTTATATTTTTTATAGAACGTGCAATAGAAACACTTTCTATCATTGGCCCAGCTGTGTTTAATGGAGGTTTGAGTACATTCCTAGCATTCGTTTTACTAGGTTCTAGTGAAGCTTATATATTCAATACTTTTTTTAAGGTATTATTTAGAAATATGTTATCTCTTTTAATTGCAAATTTTATAAAAAATTTATTGTTTCAGTTATTCACGTGTGTAGTAATATTTGGTCTATTTCACGCACTATTATTTTTACCAGTAATTTTAAGCATAGTGGGTCCTGAAGAGAGAGTAACCAAAGAGAAAAAAGAAACTGTTGTGCGAGAGCATAATGGATATTGTAATGTTCCTTTATCTCAAAATGAGAAAGGTGATACTTTATATACAAAACAAAAGATCATTTAAAAAACATTTATTAACATTGTTTTACAAATTTTAATGATTTACGTTTCTTTAGACTCAGGAACTGGAACTGCCAAATAAAATTTGATAATGTATTAAAGACTGCTTAGATAAGTATTTGATTACAAGATTCTAGAGCATAAATTGCAATTACAAACAATGCACATGTACTGTAAAACAGTAGTTTGTATATTCTTTGTTAATCTGTTCTTTTGTAAACAAAAAAGAAAAAATAAAAGAATACCATTTATTGTATTATAAACTAGTTATCTTTTTCGTCTTGTTCTTACTTCTGTCCATTCATCTGCAACTTCCGTACCAACAGAAGCTTCCTCTTCATTTTCAGAACTATCATTTTCTATAGCACAAGAGTTCTGACTTCTTTTTATAGGTTCATTCATAACAAGCCATGATTGCAATGGTGGCAATTTTGCAAGCTCTGTCATTGCCAAATTTTCATTATTTTCAGTACAATAATGATAAAATCTCAATAATTCTTCTGCTACTTGTATTGCACTATTATCTTGAAGTTCTGTATTGAAATACTCATCCATGTAATCTTCTAACTCATTAGCAATTTCATCGCTATTTAGATCTTCTATAGATGAAAATATGACAAAAAAGAAATTACAACATAAATTAAATAAAGATATAGTAAAATATAAATGAAATGACGAACCGTTCATATACATAACCTCCGTTATGTAAGGACAAAAATCTGTTGCCCTTTCTTTTGTACCCATCCCTTGTTCTACTGCCACCTAATAAAGAATATCTCATAAAAAATAAAATATAAGAAAATTATTTATATATACATATATTCTATCTATAAAATAGATACTTACTCTTAATGCAGTCCAATTACTGAAAATACGTTGTGTAACCGAAAGAAAAAATTCTTTTGTATTTGACATCTTATTGAGGATAAAGAATTTTTTAATAAAACTTATTAATTATACTAGTGATGGTAATTAATCACAATTATCTAATTTACTCTACACTGGATTAGTAAATCAGCCATGTGTTCTTCTCAGGTAACTTTTCAGGTAAAGTTAGATTATTAAGATCAGGTTAGGTTTCATATTGTGAAGTTGCTAGTGGTTCATATATGCTGAAATTTTTAAATAGAAATGAATTTTTAAACGTTTTAAACTACTTTAATTTCTATTACAAGGTAAATATTGATATTTTTTATTGTAAATATAAAAAATGACTTTCAGTTCATGTTTTTACCAAGTTTAAGTTTAAATATAATATGCAAATATTTGTCATACACTTGCATATAATATTTCTCTTAAACAATTTATCACGAAGATATGTCAGACGCTTTTGAAGAGATACAAGCAATTAAAATAAAAAGAAACAGTCTACGGGAAAAATTGCAGAAAAGAAAACGTGAAAGACATGAATTATTTACTCTTACTTCTGCAACATCAGTATCATCCACCTTGACAAATGAATCACCTCTTTCTAGTGGTAATTAAATTCAATTATATTTTTTAATATTTTGTTATATATAAGAATTAGTTTCAAATATGATTTTAAAATTCTATTTAAATACCAAAAGCTCAATAAAGAATATAATTTTTTAATAGATTCAATGGGACATTCACACCGATCTGACCATAATGAATATGAAAGAGATGTGTTATGCATCTTACACGAGTCATTACCCAATTTACCAATCACATCTGCAGAATTAATAGATCAACTTCGTAAAAATCTTAATGCAGATGTATGTTCTTCAGACATCCATAAAATTTTGGAAAAACTTGCAGCTCAAGATATAGTTAAGTTAGTAAGTTTCTGCATTATCCCATACCAAAACTTTATATACAAACAAGTAATCAAATACTTTTTTAGAATTAAAGAAGTAACAGAAAATGGTGTTTTTGGATATACAGTATTATCATTGGCAGAATCACAATCATCATATCAGTCTCAATCAGATGATACAGAAAATCCTGAGAGTGCAGAAACATCTGCATCTGAATTGAATGACTATGGGCCTGCAGAGAAGCAGCCTAAACTGGATAAAAAAAATACGGAGGATATAATGTCACTAATATCAATGCCTACTATTAGGGAAAAAGAAAATAAAAAGGTTGGAGAGCAAATTTTAGATTTATTATCAAAGCAAACATCAAAGGAGAAATCATTAGCTGAAAGATTTCGATCTCAAGGAGGAGCTCAAGTTATGGAATTTTGTCCTCATGGTACAAGAGTAGATTGTGTGAAGTTAAATGGTGGACCAGGATTTGCAGAAAAATGCAAGAAACTTCATTTTAAAAAAATTATTCAAAGTCACACAGATGAATCTTTAGGTGACTGTAGTTTTCTTAATACTTGCTTTCATATGGATACATGCAAGTACGTATTGTGAATTTAATAATTTTTAATTATAAGAAGAATTTCTTCTAATTCTTTTTCCATTTAAATGTTATGTAGATATGTTCATTATGAAGTGGATGGACCAACAACTCAACCAAAGGAATCAAATGAAACAGACAATGCAAATAATAGTACAGTGAGTAAGGGTTTAATAGTAGATAGTAAAAATGGTAGTAATACTACTTGTCCAACTCCTAGTGGATCATTAGGTAGTGAATTGACTCTTTATCCACCACAATGGATACAGTGTGATTTACGTTATCTTGATATGACTGTACTGGGTAAATTTGCTGTTATAATGGCCGATCCTCCATGGGATATTCATATGGAACTACCATATGGTACCATGTCAGATGATGAAATGAGACAGTTAGGTATACCTGCTCTTCAAGATGAAGGTCTTTTATTTTTGTGGGTGACAGGGAGAGCAATGGAACTTGGTAGGGAATGTTTACAATTGTGGGGATATGAAAGAGTAGATGAAATCATATGGGTAAAGACCAATCAATTGCAAAGGATAATAAGAACTGGAAGGACAGGTCATTGGCTAAATCATGGTAAAGAACATTGTTTGGTCGGTATGAAAGGAAATCCAAGAATTAATCGTGGTTTAGATAGCGATGTTATCGTGGCAGAAGTTCGTGCAACTAGTCACAAGCCTGACGAAATTTACGGAATTATCGAACGTATGAGTCCAGGAACGAGGAAGATTGAATTATTTGGTCGACCGCATAATGTTCAACCAAATTGGATCACATTAGGCAATCAAGTAGATGGAGTTCACTTAATTGATCCTCAACTTATTAAAGCCTTTAAAAAGCGTTATCCAGATGGAAATTCAATGAAACCTAGTAAACCATAAGTATTTTAGGCAAAGTAAAATAAGTGGATAATTATTTTATTACAAATGTTATGAGAATGAAATTGTGTTTAATAAAACTTGAATACGAATTTCAGATTTTCATTTTCTTTATTGTTTTAAGATATACATAAAAAAATAATTTCATTTTTAAATATTAAATTTATATACCTCGTATAAAATCGCATTTATAATTACATCAATTTTTTTTTTTTTTAACTTAAAATTAATATCAAAAACATTTGTACAAATTTGTTAGAAATATCTAGTTCGTGTTTTAATCAGCATTTATATGTATATATATTGTTATTTTTAAATTAGCACCTCTATTATATACTTAAATATATGAATATATATATATTTATATAATCTATATATTTTACATTAATAATATTTGTTTCAAAATATGTAAATAATACATAGGTAAGTACTCTTGTTACTATAAATCATATACTTTTAAAATAAATCTGGAATGTAATCTTTAAAGCATAGTGAGAAGTAATTTAGTAATATAAATTTAAAGTACACCAAGGTGTTCTTAGTACAACCAAATTAAACATTTTTTGTCAAGCATAAGTCTTGTTTATGTGTTGTATACGAGCATAAAAAATATAATGTATATCTGTTAACGTTAAACAAGACCAATACTGCCACGTTTTTGTCTTAAAAAACTTCTTTTTAATGTTAATGAAAAATGATTTTCATTTATTTTATTTAGAGATGATCTAATAGATCGATCTGTTTTTGATGGTGTCAAATTTTCGACATTTTCTTTTTTACTGACATCAATCACATTTTCCATTGAATTAATATTACATTTATGAACTTTATTAAACGAATCAATCCAATGTCTTTTACCATGCCCATCTTCTGTTATTAAAATGTGATCTCCAATTTTAAATCCATAACTTATATCACATTTTTCATCTGCACTTAGTTGTTCTTTAGGTATAACAGGATGAAACAAATTGTATCTTTTACTTACAGACCTTGTACTACGAGTTATTACAAAACCAGTATCAAAAAGAAAACACTGAAATTTCTACAAATCATAATTACAAATTTTATATTGTAATTTATAACATAATTTAATCACATATTTATTTAATGAAATAATTCACAAAATATTCTTACCATTCCCTTTGTATCTTTTAGCTGTCCTTGGGTAATTAATTCTGTTGCATTTTCAATACACTTTGTAGGATCAAAATCCAGTTTTACATTAATTTTTGACTGAGCCAATTTGCATTCTGCATCTCCCATAGCTTTGTCTATATTTTTAAGTAAATTAGATATTAAATCATATGCTTCTTCTAAAGATGTATGATCTACATGTGTTGTTGCAGTATGCCTTAGTATTTCTTTGATCAATAAAGGATATTTAACAATTCTTGATCTTGCTACATCTATGTAAGTCCACAAATCTACTGAATGAGGAAATTCTAAACGTTTTTTTAAAAAAGATTGAAAACGTTTATTAGACAACCTTTTTTCATCTAATAATTGTTTTGCCCATATTTGCGTTCTACATCTTTCTAAATATGGTTTTGTTAATGTTGGAATCTGTAAAAATTAATGAATAAAATAAATATGAAAAGTCATAAATTGTATTAAATTTACTATTAGAAATTGATCATTACTAACCCAATTTAATATTGTAAAGCCCACAGTTTCTGTAAATCCATATTTATCTCTTAGATCAATCAATTCATCCCTTAATCTACTATGTATTTCAATGAGATGTGTTACATCCCCAAAAACTGTCATTAGTTCATCAGTACTAAAAATGCTACTGGATATCAATGGTTCATAATAAAACTCTTTAAGAACACATAAATCATTGATAAGTACATTTTCTCCACAATATAATTCATAAATTGCTTCTTGTCTTTTCACTTCTTTTCTACTCCAAACATAATTAGATTTATCTTTGATACTTTGATTTGCTACATCAAGTATCCAGCTTCTAATTGTAAAATTATTAGAGTTTTCAATACTTTCTTTGTGTCTAAAGAATAAAGTTGTATTAAATAAATATGACTGTACGAAATTATATAATTATATGATTAGATTATATAAAAAAATTAATTGATTGATGACATTTTATAAACCTTTTCTCTAAAGTTCCTGTATCTGTCTCATTATTCACAAATAACAAATCTGTTGTATTTGCTTGAATTGTAAAAGATCTATGAAGAGTATTTCCTTGTTTACTGCTTGGCGTAGAAGAAAAAATGCTGCTGGCTACTTCTGTAATTCTTCTTCTTTTTTTCTTTTTTCCCACATCTGATTCAATAGATATGTCCATTGAACTGATACTGATAGCATCACTTTTAGGACGTTTTCTTGATCGCTAATTTAAGATACCACAAAATGTCAATTATTATAAATACAAACATTATGTAGAAGTAACTATCTCATATAAAATATATTAAACATCACAAAATTAAATATATAATTCGTAAAATTAAGAAATATATAAAAAAGTAATATTATTAAACGTTGATGAAATTGATGCAGGTTAATATTGCGTCACTTTGAAATATCGTTGACAGTATATTAAAACTCACCAACCAAAATTTTTTTCGGGGTTCTTGAAAAGCATCTTTGTTTATATTATTACTATCATCATACATTTCCTCTTAATTTTAAAAAATTGATGTACGGCTGAATTACATACACTTATTCATGTTCCATACGAAGTAACCGTTAATCTACGCAGGCCCTCAAGAAAAACGATTCATTAGTACAAACTTGGTAAACGCAAACTATAGAATACTTTCTATTTATCCTAGTATAATGGATTTCTTAATTTTCATAGTGTGTTGTATTGTTATAGTATTATTTATGAGGTAGGAAAACTCTCACATTGTTTAAATAGATGGCGTCATTTAATTATTAATTACCATTTTTTATTTGAAAATATATAACCCTGAAATAAGTATCAGATAAATAATGTTTTTTATATTTAATTTATGTAATAAATTATATTTAATAATATTATTAAATAAAAAACGAAATTTTCACATAGAAGTTTTATGTGTAAATTCGCAAGTCTTTATTTAATTAGGTACATTCAAAAAAGAAAGTATGCTGAATTCATTTCCAAACGTATGAATGTTTTGAATTTGTACCGCCATATTTAAGTTGACATATTACCTAACATTTTATAAATAATATTGCTTAAAATTTATGTATTTTTGTATTAATTCGGAAATAAATACAGTATATTTTGTTATTCGATAAAAATTGTTTCTTTTACGATATTTATATTTATTTTTATACACGTGCTAAATGAAGAGGTTAGGACAGGTAACCTAATGTCTAATAACAAATACACACAGCTTATTATTTTATAATAACAAATCATTTTTTTCATTAACCAGTTTTAGCAAAAGCGAAGAACAGAAGAAATCATGCCGTTCTAAGAAGTCTGGTAGTAAGCAAATTATGGCTGAAAAGTACAGAAAAAATTCTCAACGTATAATTCCACACACGGAACGTAATGCATCTGGTCGAAATTGGGAAATGTTTAAAAGTTTAGTATTTAATTCATCGCTTTTAAATTCAGATTCTTCTAGTAAAGAGCAAGTAAAGAAAAAGTCATATTCTCATCAAAAGTCTAGAAAAAAACATCATGCTTCTGTATCCAACGTGGCTCATATACTAACAACTAATGAGGAAGAAGTAGTTTATGATGAAAGTAAAAAAAAACTGACAAAACAAGTAGCAATGGATTGTGAAATGGTAGGCATAGGAGATGGCACAGAAAGTATGGTAGCTAGAGTATCCATTGTAAATCGTCATGGCTTTTGTGTTTATGACAAATATGTAAAACCAAGAGAACCTGTTCAAGATTACAGAACTAAAGTTAGTGGTATTAGGCCTCATAATCTTCGAAATGGAGAAGAATTTGAGATTGTGCAAAAAGAAGTAGCAGAAATTTTAACAGACCGTATTTTAATTGGTCATGCAATAAAATATGATCTTGATGTACTATATCTATCTCATCCAAGAAGATATTTACGAGATACTTCTACATTCAAAATATTCAGGCAATTATGTCGAGGAAATACTCCTAGTTTGAAGAAACTTACACATGAGTTATTAGGTAGAGAAATACAAACAGGAGAACATAATTCAATTGAAGATGCAAAAGCTGCAATGCAACTATATATGTTGTACAGAAATAAGTGGGAATCTGAATTTTATTCTAAATGACAGTTCAGATCACAATGAGATCACTATTAAAGTACCATGAAAATCTTGTGTATGTAACAAAATATCATAAATTAACAAATATTTTGGAATTTGTTTCTTACATACAAAATTACAAGAAATATAAAGTTATTTTATACAAAGAGACTTTGTATCAAACATTACAAATTTTCATGATTGTGTTTAACAAGAACCAATCTTCAAGTTTCAATTCATGAACATTAAATTTATTCATGTATAATTAAATATGTAAATAGAACATTGTTATCAGAGTGTAAAGAAAAGTTGTATTAAAAATTTTTAAATATATTTCTTTTTCAGATAGATCTTGCATGACTACTACTTCTTCATTACCATAAATTACTATAAATAATAATGTTAGATATAATATTAATTATTAATATTAATATTAATATTAATATAATTACATATAGTAATATTACATATAATTTAAATAATTTTTAGTATAGGTATTGGTATGTTTAAAAATGTAATTTTCAAATATTTGCATAACAGGATTGATATAATAGAGTTATATGTTCTTTGATATTTTGAAATTTTGTCAGTTAATTCTTTTTTATGTTCCCAGAAATGCCCAGTATTCAACTTTAATTTGTTATATAATGAAAGGATAATGAAAATCGGACACTATGTTTTTTATTCATTTACCGAAGGTGAATATTAATTCTCAAATATTTTAAATAGAATGTTTTCTTATAGGATATATTATAAGGAGCAAATAAAGAATTGGATTTCGTACATCATATGATATTATAACAAGTATAAACTTATCGATGATCACAATTTCATTTGATATTAAAAATTTTACGTTAAAATATACCGCAACATTTAAACATATCGGTTAACAACATAATTGTTTGTAATTCTGTTATCTATTGAACTTGAAAGATGATGCACAAATGTGAAGGAGGTCTTTGAACGTTGTTATCAGCTTCTGTCTCTTTTATCTATTATATGTTCGGAATTAGTACACGATAGTAAGAAAATAAAAACAATTACTAAAATTATTCTCAAAAAAAAAAAAAAAAAAGGAAGAGAAAAAGGAAGAAGAATTGCGCAAAGAAATATGGTGCATTTTTATTTTATAGTGTTTATGTGATAACTAAGTCATAATAAACTTGGATATACGTAATAATAAAGGTGTTCTAAAAAGAATATTACAAAATAGAAATATGATATATAATTGTTCATTTTACTTTGCCAAATTCTCAACATTTACGCCCTCTAACAAATTTTTGAAGCTATCGGTAACTTACCGCCAAGGAAAGAACTATAGTTCGAAATAATTAAAATCTCATTAATTGTTTCGGGATTAATGCAGCGAAAGGTTTCCAAAAAAGGTACAAGGCTGCTGACGAATGTTGCTACCCATAGCAATCTCATACGTATCTCTTATAAAGTAAATGTACAGAATACACGACGACCTCGTTATCAGTAGTAGCCACTTTTCAAAAGATACACTTCGACTTTCCGTATACTGATTATTTCACGATCATTTCGTATATCTCCACTGAGCACTATACACCGATTTTACTAGCAGTTTCGCACGTGACTACTTTTCTTTTCTACTTGTGAGCAAACTACAATTAAATTAGGATAATCAGCGTCAACAAGGTATTTTAAATAAGTTAAAATTAATCTTACGAATCTAAGTGCATCGTGTTTTATGTTTACTTCACTGTCAAATACACGATAGTCATTAATCTTTCTATAAATAACAAATTTGTGATCTTAATTCATGAGATCAATTATTGCGACTCTTTCCTATATTTTATCCTAAGTATTTCACGTTACTTGTACCATATGTTTTTATTATCCTACACTGGAGGCTTACACAGTTGTAAGGAAAGTGATCAGTACAACAAAAAAGAAGGAACATTCGCGTTCGTAACTTTCAATCGTTGCACCTTTCCCATTTCTAACTTGACCGTGCCTACTGCTACGTTGCATGATATTAATGCAGATGAATTTGTATTTTTCTTAATTATTTTCTTAATTCCTTAGAAATAGTAAGTGACGCGTAAGATAAAACAATCTTTTTATATCATTATTCGATCGTTACCAAATCAAAACGAAGTTCTTCAGAAGAGTAGAAAATTAAAAGAGTTGTCAAGAATAAGTGTATTTAAAAGTTTAGATAATTCGTCAAATTCTCAGAAAACATGAAGATCGCCGTGATCGGTGGTGGATCTGCTGGTCTTGCCGTCCTACGACATTGTACTTCCGGTAAATATGATACTCAAGTAGTATGTTACGAAAAAACGGAACAAGTAGGTGGTACATGGGTTTATAGGGAAGAAAGTGGTTTAGATCGATACAATTTACCCATACACACTAGCATGTACAAAAATTTAAGGTAAGTAAACTATAAAAAGATATTGTATTTACATTAAATTTATTTATTTTTTCATTTTACTCGAAATATGTTTGTCACGTTACTGTATTTAATTATTTGTACTACATAGGACAAATCTTCCCAAAGAAGTAATGGGATATCCTGATTATCTTATTCCGGATAATCCGGAAAGTTATTTGACTCGTACGCAAATACTCGAATTTTTAAATTCGTATTGCGATCATTTTCATCTTCGCCAATATATCCGGGTACTTTTTTAAATAATATCTTGCATGGTTGAATATTACACAGAAAATATCCAACCGTATATTCTACAGTTTTTGCACAACGTTGAATTAGTGGAGCCGTCAACAGGAGACCGGAAATGGACGGTTAAAGTCAAAGATCTAGAAAAAAATATCGTTTTAACAGAAACATTTGACGCAGTTATGGTATGCAATGGTCATTATTTCGAGCCTAATATACCAAATTTAAAGGGTCGTAACACTTTTCAAGGGGAACAATTACATAGCCATGATTATAGGGTGCCGAATATTTTTACCGATAAGACTGTACTTGTACTTGGTGCTGGGCCTTCCGGTATGTTACATTACTTTCGTTCTTTTTCTATGCAAAATGTTTTTCCTCTTATTGTGACATTTCATGGAAACGATAGGAATGGATTTGGCTTTGGAAATATCAGCGAAAGCGAAGCGTGTATTTTTGAGTCATCACCTGAAAGACCCCATAGGTACGATATTTCCTAAAAATGTTGTTCAGGTAAGCGATAATATAAGAGGACTATAAATAAGAGGAATATAAATAAGAGATATAGGAAAATATAGGAAACAAGAAGAATAATTATATCAACTTTTAATCTTTCAGAAACCAGATGTAAAAGAACTAACTGAACACGGTGTCCTTTTCGAAGATGGCATCAACGAACCAGTTGATGTGATTTTTTATTGCACAGGTAATCGTCATGAATTTTTATCTAAAAAGAATGACTCAGTTACCTTCTTTTTCTTTCCGAACAAAGGGTATAAATATAGCTTCCCCTTTTTGAGCGAGAAATGTGGAGTACGGGTAGATTCTAATATGGTGACACCATTATGGAAGCATATGGTATCGATCGAAAATCCTACCCTGGCCTTGATTGGTCTTCCCTTCTATGTTTGCGCCTTTAGCATGTTCGATCTGCAGGTGCGACTCAAAAACAAATTAATATAATGAAAAGTCTTTTTATCGCATAAATTATTTTAGTATGACTCATTATTTATTGATCGAAGGTCCGTTTTGTGCTGCAATATTGGTCAGGCAAGAAAGACTTTCCTTCTAAAGCGGATATGTTACAAGAAGAAGTGGAAGAATTGGAAACTCGCAGAAAAGAGGGTTTGCAAAAGAAACACTTTCATTTGATGGGATTTAAACAAGACCATTATTACGATGATCTTGCAAATACTGCCGGAATAACTCCATTGCCTCCAGTACTTACGAAATTGCATAACGAAAGTAGTATGCATTTCTTGAACGATCTAGTACATTATCGAGAAATCAGATACAAGATCATCGACGATTATAATTTTATTCAACTATAAAGTTGTCTATCTTGTTTATGTTACAAAATGAACATTCTTCAATCTTATACAATTAGTATAAAGATTATATGCTCAACAGATCCAATTATACGAATTACATAATATATATTGAAATCCGTTTTCTTCGTCTGCCTTATGACATCAATGATAAGATTAATAGTAAACTATAGACGTTTATCATATGATATAACAGTAAATTAAACAAAATATTTGCTTATCAAAACCATATTTTGTATATTTCTCGAAATAAATTGAATTTTCTCAAATGCATTTTGTAATTGAATATCGCGCCATGAACTAGTACGTGATCTAACCGCAAGGTGATGCCTGAATGCAGACGTTAGTTAAATGCCTCGGTTGCGTGCGGTGCAGTGTTATGTGTGATGTAGTTGTGTGACGAACGCGAGTACGTTTCACTCCATTGTCATTTCGAAATGATGAGCATTTCCGCGGTCTCAAAGTGATTCAGTGTCGAAATATTTCAGCCCGTTTTTACGGCTGAGCCACGATGGTTGAGTCAATCGGGAAGCGTATTGAAAGAAATCAACGTAAGTAGATTTCCGTAAAAAAAATATCTATGAAATATATGTTTTCCTAGTTCGTACTATCGTTATTTTCTATTTGGAAAATTTTGTGTCGCCTCAATTGTACAGGATTGTATACGGAAATACTGAAAGTAACATGTTGTTATAGAAGAGAAAAGTAGAAACTCTTGTCGGATCTTTTACTGGGACAAAAAGTTTTATTTACGTCAAGAGTCACCGACGTTACTTTTCTAGATAGAAAGTTGCATTCAATGATGCGCGATATGTGGGCTACGCACAGGCTCTCTCGGGTGAATGCATTCGTAAGAATGCATTCACGTCCGTCGTGTGTCGTGTTCCTTCTTCTGTTTTATGTAATTTTACTATGGACACCTGTCCATCAGAATTTCGGGTATCGTGTCAATATCAGCGTGTAGACGGGAGTGTCAGAAAACTAGTTACGCGTTACTGTCAACGTTTCCTTTCCCTTATCTGTCAGATGTTTGAAATAACTGATAAAGGAATTTTCGGTTGTCGTGAGGCTACCAATCTGGATAACGCGATTACTAGTTGCTAGTAACTAATCCTGGAAGAACGTAAAGAATGTTTTAGAACGTTGGGTGAAATGTGTCACAATTCGTGAAATATAATCTGTAATTCTGATACGGTGTATTATTACCGACGGTGTTTCGTGTCTACAACGATTATTTGTTGTATATCTGTTTCATGTTTTATTGTACTATTATTTCACACTTTTTTATTTCGTAGATTAAAAATGTTTATTATTAACTAAAATGTTAAGTGTTCCATATAAAATCAATAAATTAAACGTTAAAAAGCAGATCAATGTGTATTTGTAATTATTTAGACTTAATTTTTCTATCATTTATTAGGATATTAAGGTGGAGCTAAAGGAATTATAAAATGGCTACAAAATCAGAAGATACAACATCTATTGATAATACTAATGATGGTATAAAAATTATCTTTTTTTTTTTTTTTTTTTTTTAAAAATTTTTTTTTTTTTTTTTTTTTTTTT